ACATATTGACATTAATTTCCTGTATTTTACGGATAGGAACCCCCGCGTTAACCTCCGAATAGTAAGATGTGGCACCACCGCCAATTATTGTATTAACAGAGGCCTCCGCATTCGATTTCATTATACAAATCTCCCGTATTTTACGGATAGGAACCCCTGCGTGAACCTCCAAATAGTAAGATGTGGCACCACCGCCAATTATTGTATTAACAGAGGCCTCCGCATTCGATTTCATTATACAAATTGACATTAATTTCCTGTATTTTACAGATAGGAACCCCCACATTAACCTCTAAATTGTAAGATGCAGCACCACTATCAATTATTGTATTGACGGAGACCCGTGCATTTGATTACTTGATACAAATGGGTGTTAATTTCCCATATTTTACAGATAGGAACCCCTGTGTTAACCTCCAAATAGTAAGATGTGTCACCACTGCCAATTATGCTCAATACCCTCAACCCTATCTTTCCGAACAGTGATAGGTAACATGTCAGAGAAGAGTGGATATGGACTTCTTTCAATCTGTGAACCTCTTACCCATGTATGGTTTTGATCATGTGACCACACATGCCAATTCTGTGATCAGGATGCATTTATACCTTGTCATTCTTGTCATCCTCGACATTGACTACTCACATGTTCAACCCTTACATCCCAATTGGCAGATTATGATGCTGATCTTCATGTCTCATTGCAGCAATTCAGAACATTTGAATGCATCCATCTCCACTTGAGGGTCGCATTATGATGGTCCAATCCCAGGTGTCATCCAACAGGCAATCATACCAGACCTTTGGTGTTTCAATCCAACACCCCAGGCTCGTTCAGGAGGCTTCTTCCTTCCAGAAGAGAGAAATTTCTTGGAATGGCATGGAATGATGGAATGGATCGTGTGCCCAATGATCAGTCATGCCAAAACCATCTTCCACAAGCTGTTCCATACCATCAAGCATCTCAACCACATGGCTGTCCGTCACTGTGGATCACCTGATACCAGCAATTATTGGTAAGTAGAATTGTGTCCACCAACAAGGCCAATAGCATGTGATGTGTCACAACAATGCATCTGTGTTCATGTGATCCACCTATAAATTCTCGTAGCTTGGTGTAAATAGGCATCAATTTGATGTTGAATTTTTTGTATGCATCCTTAGGTATGGTCCAGATAAAGTTGGCAAGAAAGGAAGGTGATGCCAGTTTGCCTTTGCCTTCGATATACAGATGATGTTTCGATAGTATAAATTGACACACTGAATGAAGAAGATCCGGCTAAGCTTTGACCCATATACCCAGCAAAAAGCACGTTGTGGTGTATGTCAGCCAGGATATGCCTTTTGCATAAGCACTAGCCAATAAATGAGGCCTAATATACCTTGTTCACCATTGGGAACTGGCTTATTCCGAAATTTTTATTTTATTTGATATTTCCAAGCAAAGTCCTCATCAATTTGGTGCGTCAACGAGGGTACAGTTGGCGCCTATTAGTCGTCTATGGCCATAATCCGGATAAATGGTCACGAGACCCCTACTGGACGCTCACCCACAGGCTGAATTGTGAAGTAGAAAGCTCAATTTATAACGAACAAGAAGTATGACACAAACACATACAAACAACTACGGTTTTTTCGAACGTCGTGCCTGTTGAGGGCCGGTAAGACCTTCCCTTACGGTCAGGAATCAATAATTCAATAGATAAAGGGTTGCATGTGGTCACACCCGGAAGCAAGTTCGAACATCATCCCCTCTTAGCCTCCACGACCTCAGTACTTCCTGAGCCTCATACGCTAGCACAACCATTTTACTACACAGATTCTTTACATTATGCATCTACTAGTCGACACTGATACCCTTGCGCGTGTCGTATCCTCCAAGCTTTCCGGAAACGAAACTGCATGGACACTTCAGGAAGAATGCGGCGTTTCGGAAACCACCAGCTTCTTACGACTCGTGAATATGGCTGAGGAGCGCAAGGTCATAGTCGGTGTTACTACGCCTTCTGTCGAGGGCGAGTGGAACATAGCTTTGCTTCGGAAGAAATTCGACCAAAATGTTTCCTTCCTAAAGTATGCAAGTGGTAAGCTTTCGCTCAGATTGAAGATGAATGTAGTAAAGCTCACCGACGTCTGATAGACCACAAGTTCTGGTACTGGGATGCCGATATGATGGTGCACAAATGAGACTTCTGCTCATTCAGCTGCTTATTGGGCCACAAAGAATTTTATGAGGAAAAAAGGACCATAATAGGCTCGATTCAGTTATGAAAAATGAGTAAATTGTGAAATCTCAATGAACTTACATATTAATTTGCTTAAATTTCACTGCAAATCGATAACAACAGCCTGTACCTGAGAGAAGTGACTCCGCCATCTGATATTGTATTGACGGAGGCCTCCGCATTCAATTTGTTGATACAAATCGACATTAATTTCCTGTATTTTACAGATAGGAACCCCCACGTTAACCTCCGAATAGTAAGATGCGGCACCACCGCCGATTATTGTATTGACGGAGGCCTCCGCATTCAATTTGTTGATACAAATCGACATTAATTTCCTGTATTTTACGGATAGGAACCCCCGCGTTAACCTCCGAATAGTAAGATGTGGCACCACCTCCGATTCTTGTATTGA